GCAAGCTGCCTGATATACAATATCAACTTGGAAAAAAATTGCATTTGTCTCGTGCTCTACCACTCAGAGCTACAGAGAACTCTATGGTCAACTTCTGAGCGAAAGCTCTCAATACTGAAGATCCTGAAGCTCTATTCCAGAGATGGAAAGCTCAGATACTATGGTAAGAAGTATGGACGTCTCCGATAGTCAACAAAACCCTTGCTAATAAGATCCGCATGTCGATATTTACACTGCGGCACAACTTGTCTACAAGGCTAAGTTTAGAGCACATTTTAACCAAGGCTTGTAAAACCAGAAAAAAAAGTTTATCATAGTAGCTAATCAGAATACAAGTTGAAATCACAAAGAGCCAATTGGAACTCAAAAAGTTCACATTCGAGTTCACTGCATCAAGCGCGAAAAGTCGAGAATAGTTTTGGTCTTGGATCTAGCTGAAAGAATTTTTCTAAGTAAATCAAAGCCACGATGCAATACCGATATTGCAGGGTTCTTCCCTCTTCCCTTCTTTTCGACTACAAAGACCTTTCAAGGCACCGGAAGTGTATTCCAATGTGCCAAGTTAATATTGATCTCAACTTACTTAGGATGGACATCAATAACAGTCTCTTTAGACGGTGTACTCCTCGTATCGAAAATTAACTTCGAAGCAGGAAAGAGAAAGTCATCTAAGAGGTCTTTTATCAACTTCTCTCCTACAGGAAAGAAAAGAAAATTGTGAATTGTTGCCGAATCCCATTTATATTTGTGGAAATAGTAGTGAAGATGTTGTAATCTGTTATGAGCACTCTCACTTACCCAAACCCTTTTTATCCACCCCTTCACAAGTGAAGAGAGTTTTAATTAATTTCAAATGTCCAGCTAGTAGTGGAAAGCTGTTTTCTGTGAATAAATATAAATTAAATCATCAAAATATGCTACATTTCCAATGCTTGCTCTGATATTGGTATAGTAATCTGCATGTCTCGATTGATGGGCACTAGTGATCGTTTGAAGCTTTTCGCCTTTACGCTGCATTAGTCGCGATTGGAACTTGGATATCTTTCAAAACCTCACGAGTGATCAGACATAACAAAATACACCAGCAGTCCATGTGAATTGCCTTCACTTAAGACTCAAGGCGATCACAGACTACTATGCAAACTTGAAATACGTTTCAACAGTCCTAAGTGTCTTCTTTCATTTGACAAAGCGAAATAATCACACCAGCCAATCAGGACAGAGGAAAAACATCACGATCTACTGAAATCGCAAAGTAAAAACAAGCAAACTGTTTGAAATGCGGAAAAACGCGGGCGACCAAGTCGCCATTGGCTTCAGTTTTGAGAAAGTGTCGCGAATTTTCCAAACAAACCAAAGAGCGAACACTCTCAAACCCTGACGGGCAAACACTTGAAATGAAATAGAAACAAACCATTACGTAGCTTCATGACTCATTAGGTGACTTGTTTCAACAAAGTATAAATTTTTCAAGAGTAACTTAAACAAATGTAAGAATACCTAAATTAGTTCCGCATTCAAAATTCAGAAGCCATTGTATTTCAGTGTCGATCATCTTGGTTGGATCAATTTTCATCTGTCTCTGCTCTGTCACTGAAACAAAAGTGGATTGTTTTGATTCAACAGTAGGGATTTTACATGTCTGACATACGGGTTACTTTCTCACCAAATTTTGCCTCTTAGAAGAAGAAAGAAATCAGTTTTCATCGATAATTGTTTACGGTGATGAAGTGAGCGTCATACACCCGCTCAAACAACAACAACAAAAGGACATCAGTGGGTTTAAACCTATGACCCTGCACTCTTAATGCAAAGTCTATTCCTCACCTGTCAAGTAGTCTAACAGTCGACAGAGGAGATCAAAGAATTGACTGCAATGACGTTGCAATCTAAAAGTTTAAGAAAAATGGAAAATACCTTCATTTAACAATCGTTTTCACGTTATTTTGGCACCATATTCTCTACTGGGGGACGCGCATCAAGAAATTCTATCATTTGGAAAGAGTGCGAACACTGTTCATAACTGGGATGTTATTTTGTGCAGCAGGATTCTGGTTTTTCTTCTCCAGGTAACAACTTAATACAACGGAAACCCTGCCCATTTTCAAGTAACGTGACTTCCCTTGGGTAGAGGGGTGGGGTAAATCCACGCACTCAACCCTTCCGATTAGTGTCCCATTTGCTAGCAGAGGAAGGATTCACCTTGCCCCTCATCTTGTTGAAGTTGCCCCTACCCCGTTTGAAATAATCTTAATTTGAATTAATTGTATCTTTGCCAAAAGGTGACTAGCAAGAGAACTGTACCTGTAGTTTTTTCCTCTGACATGAACTGTAGGTGTCCATAATGGGAGGGGAGCATTAAGCATCACACTCAAAAGGAAGTGATTTGGTGTCTGAAGTTTGATATCTTAAAAAGCCACAAAGACGTGATTTCAGACATATGATGAAAAGCACAAGAATAACACAAATAAAACGTAGCTGTTGTTACTGCTTATGTCTCTACCATAAATAACGCTATCCGGCGGAGAAATGTTAACAGAACCTGCCGCGCTATGTACCGGATGGCGCTATCCATCTTTCGAACAACCGGAGCCAGGTGAAAACACATTAAATGTACACAATATACAGTAGTTACCATTTATTATAAAATAATTCAAATAGTACGCGCGCTCTGATTGGCCATAAAACCATTTTACATGAGAGTATGTAAACACGGTTTTCCGCGGCGTTCCTCGTTCATTAGTTATTTTATAAAAGAAATGTCGCTTCGCGTCGTGGTTTCCTACGCTTATCTCGTGTTCTCCCAACCTTCCGCGTGTTTACATCAGGCTATGTAAACACGGAAACCATTTTACATTTCTTCATTATTATTGTTGTTATAATTATTTTTTATGTTGTATGATCGAATTTAAAAAGACAATATTGTGTTCGCGTACATACCTCCAACAGGAGTTTGACTCAGAATTAAAAGTTGTTCAAGTGCCGTGGACCGCACCTAAAGAGGAGACAACATAATTGTATCATTTGTGGCTAAGCGGCAAACGGAAAAGGAATGAATGAGTTGCCAATAATCGGATCTTTGTGTTTGTGCAAAGATTTCTGGGATTGACAGAAGGCAAACATTGCAAGTTCCATTTCTGATAAAACAGCGACTAAAAAATGTTGATCTCTCCCCAAATTTTTTTCCCCTTGCAGCGTCAAAACAACCTTTCGCCATGTATTTCCCTATGACATCCTGCATTACCTTAAAAAACAACGGTGTAGAAATGATAACTGTTACTTAACTAAAACGTTTATCTATTAAACAATCAATTTGTTCTTTGGTGGAGAGTTAGTGTCAACACCTAAATGATAAATGTATACCTGAGAATTGATGGAGCCTATTAGAACTTCCACAATGAAGTCATTTACATTTGGGAGATAGTAAAACACTCCTAGAAGAAAAAAGCTTAGCTTGAGTGTTGGATGTTTAAATTTCTGTCAGCAATACAAAGTGTTCGGTAGTGCTGTTTTCTGCCAGAAATATGTCTTACCCATTAATTGCGTTCTCAGTTGCAAACAAAGAACCAGAAGCTGGAGGGCTTCGCCGACAATTACTACATCCTGAGGATACAAAGCAAAAAAAAAAAAACATTTTCATGTGCGAGACTACATCCACTGCTATTGTAGACAAGTGACAGAAACTGAAAAATCTTCTTCTAGTGGCGGTTTAGTTTTGGTGGTCTGTCACTGTTTTTAAGCGGGAATCAATGGAAAGAAAGCAGCTCACAAAAAGCTCTGAATAAAAGGTTATGGTTAATCGCCAAATCAACTGGCCATTTCTACATTAATAATGGAATTTCAAGGCAATTCATAAAGGTTGCAGTATGATAAGTTGGTTAATTCTTGGAAGACAGATACGTGCGAGACGTCAACATTTGATTTTAACACAAACAGATTCCATGTTGCTGCGATGTTCTTACCACATCTTGACGTCTTCTATATTCTTTTACTGTACAAACACACAACCACATGGAATTTAATTGTCAAGCAGACAAAGCGTGTTTTGCTTTTAGCTTGAGTGTTGGTTTTTTTGTTGTTGCTATTTTACAGCACAAGTGTATGTAATAATAATGATGACGATGAAATTAGGGGCCTAGTTAAGCATTTGTGCTGTTCTGTTTTATCGTCTTATTGTTTTATTTTTTTATTTTATTAATTTTAATTTACAACCCGTTCTACAAAATCAAGTCAGTCAAGAACGCACCGTGTTAGGAGATAACAGGTACTAGATGGGGCCATAAAAATAGATGGTAATTTAAAAAAAACTCAAGGTGCACGCAACCAGCAATAAATCACTGACAAACCTTGTTTGTAACCTCAGAGGGGCTCCCGCTGGAAACACTGGATCTGAAGGATTTCACAGACTCAGAATCACTACCCCCTCCTCCCATACTACTTCCTTCATCATCGGAACTCTGACTGGATAACCTCTGCCTACCCCCAGCCAGGTTTATTCTGCCAGCAGCTGCAGCCCATGCCACACGCATGAAGCATGCAATTGTTTCTGCAAAATCATCACGACCCATTGTCTGAGATGAAAGAGGACAAAATTATTATTTCACGATAACAAGACATTACAGACTTTTCAATCATTTCACCTCGATTTATCAGCTCACAAAATAAGGAAAAGCACTTTGAACTAAGTAAGATGTGACCTAATCACTTCTTTCTTGTGAGCGATTGTAATATTTAAGTTTTCAAAAGTATTTCAAACGTCACACTGATTTTGATGCAAGTAATTATTTAGGTAAGTAAATAAATTGTGTTAAAGCAGTTTGTTTTGCGCGAGAAATGTATATCGGCCAGTGTGAGTAAATAAGCTACTTATACGTGCATGTCAGGTATCACTGTTAGAAGTCTAAGTTATGCTACTACTATTCATGATATAAGTCATGGTACCCTTGGTAGTTATGCTTAGTAACGTTATTTCTGTAATTTTTTAGTACTCTACAAATAAATAATAGAATTAAGAAAAGAATTAAAAGTAAGATGTGGCCTAGGGTAACCGTTAAAATTCCCTTCCTGCACTGCAATACTAGCTTTTACGTCTGGCCCTTTAACGTACCTCAATAGCAACTCTAACAGAAGGATGTACATCATCGATCACGCTACTAGAGCGTGCTCTTTTTGCTTCCACTGCCGAATTGTTTAGACTATCATTTAAATCTGTTTCCATGGTGCCTGTTGCCATGGCAATTGGTGAGGATGCAATAGTTGCATGCTCCCTGTGTGGTGGAGAGGGTGGTGCTGTAAAAGAGTTTTCTGAGGATTGTCCACATAGCAAAAACCTTCAAGACAAAACAATTAGAATGCAATTTCACAATAAGGACTGTAAAAAACATTACATCCCCAGGATGTTAGATTCAAGAGAATGATGAAAATATAACCAATTAACTACCAAAACAATTTCTTTGAAAGGAACCTCCACTCTTAAAGCAAATATTGCTAAAAAAAAAAGCTTTAAATGTATCAAACACGAGATTTTGGTACTTAGAATTATTTCTCTGACCTTGTAAATTTTTTTCGGCCTTAAAAACCGGCCATTTAACTTCCCGCCATCTTGTCAGGTGCGCAAGGCACTTAAGGTAAATGACGTGTAATGGTAGCGGGGTCTCTGTCCAGTCATTCTCCTGTTAACAAAGCTATCCGTACTTCCATTAGGTTTGATTCATGGAAGCAATGGTCCTCGAAATGTTCCGAACACAGACGCGAATCTTTTGGAAGATATGTCCTTCCTATAGCAAGACTCCATGCACGTCGTAAACTGTTGTCTTTTCGGAAGCTAGAAAAGAGGAAGCTTGGTATCCTGCTTGGTTTCTGACTGATTACTGCACTCAAAAGCTACGCAATGAGCCGTTTTGCTGGGAAAAACCCCAAATACGAAACAACGGAACAACCATTACACGTCCTCACTCCAAAACTGATTGGCCGATTTTGAAGGCCGAAAAAAAATTAACACGGTTAGAGAAATAATTTTAAGAGCCAAATATCTTGTGTTTGATACGTTTACAGCCTTTTCGGAACTATTCGCTTTAAGACTTGGGTTCCCTTTAAACATAATGCCGGAAAGACTAACAACCACATGTAACCATTAACAACAACGCAGACAAAAAGTAAAAACAAGGTAGACAAAAATACGACAAAGTGGCCAAAAAGGTAATTTTTTTACAGACCTTGCTAATTGTAGACAAATTGCGTAGCAACCTCTGCGAATCTCAGTATCAACATCTTGAGGAAACATGTCCTTCTGGAGGATATTCACCACAACACTGTTTCATAAAGTCGACAAATAAAAGAAGAAAAAACCACAATTACGTTCGAAGTAATTATTTGCATGAATCCTTTCCACACTACTAACATCAGTCGACATATTCTCCATTCTATTCTCTATGCAGACAGAGAGTTTTTTTAATTTTTAACAATCGGGAATTTCCTAAGTTGGTGATCATTTCCATTATTCTTGTGACCTTAACGTTTGATTCAGGGGAGATTTTGTAAGGAGAAATTAGATGCTGGTCATTCTTAGGGTCAAAGGGTTTATCAGCTAGTATACGCTGATATGGATCATGACGTTTAGACTGCACACTGCTGGTCTTATTCAGACAATGACGTCTACTGGTCATGCTTTACTTAACGAACATTTTCTCTGTGTAATAAAGCCAACATAACTATGTGCAACGCCTCAGTTGGAGGAATTTTACCCTAGCATCTGTGGTCGGACAAAACCACCAAAAATAAAAAAAAATTTAAAAAGTAATATCCTTTGGAAGGCACTCGAACACAACGTTTTTTACTTTCTTCAGTCTCGCTACTCATTATACTTTATCGGATCGGAAGATATTTAGCACACACTAAATTGAATATGAATGAACTCTTATGTAAGTCCTCAGTACAATGTAAATATGCTTGGAAAATAATTCTCTCGTCTTCCCACTACGCAATTAATAGTCATCGTGTTCGCTTCTAAGGTGACTTTTCAGTCTTTTCAACAACCTGGCTGTTTAGGAGATATCTCATCTATGATAAAGCCACCACAAAACAGTCAAGTTTCAGGAATAAAACAATACCTTAGTCCCCCGGCTGCTAAAAAGTTCTCTTTGAACATCCTTGCATTGGCACCTCCATCTCTGTTTTGTGTCGGCATCAACTTGCTACTTAGGACCTAAAATTTGTCAAAGAGAACACTAAGATACTGCCGTGAGTTCCAATTTGCTTTCCAGCCCTGTCAGTTTGTTTTTTTAAACACTGTGACCTCATGTGAGTTGATAACCATTGTAGACTCATTTTCTTTTTCAATACTGTAGCAATACATAATCAAGTACCTCAAGGTTATAGAGTATTCTGAATGGAGACATGCCGGGCATCACACACTTGAACATGTTTTGCAAATTTGTCATTGACAACATTCTGTCATCTGTACCTCCAGGAGAGCAGCTGATGTTATACTGTAAATCAAAGAGTTTTAATACGTAGTTGTATGGTGTATATAACAAACAAAAGATCACACCCTGTTAGCTGTACAAGTAAGTGTTAAACAACCCGAAGGGGAAATGACCTCTCATCACAATCCTTCTGAATGCGAATAATTAATTCAGACGAACTGTTTCTAATGATCTACGTAACAAAATATGTTTCCCCAGACAATCAATATCAAGTGAATTTCTAGTTTGTGGTCATACAATGACAGACCGCAACATCTCTATACAAAAATTAAATTCGATGGCATGATTGAATTAAAAAGAATTGGTTGAAATCGTCGATTTGAATAATCTCTGGTATTTAATCAGGCCAGTACGGGATTTGAACCCATCACCAGCTCCCAGTTGGCTTGTTAGCTCAGTTGGTTGAGCGCTGCACCAGTATTGCAGAGGTCATGGGTTCAAATCCCGTCCAGGGCTGAATTTTTTTCAGGCCCTATTTTCAGTACTGCTCAAGAAGAGTTCGCTACTGCGATGATCGCTTTCAAATTAAATCGAGTTTGCAATGAATTCATTACCTGTTTTCCTATGGAGTCCAAAGCTTCCTGTACATCAGGATCTGTTGGCAACAACATCAATAACCTCTGTACTCGCACAGTAATGCTGCGACAAGAAAAAAAAATTAAATTTAGCAACTGCTAAGATCTTTCAAACATGTGCGTTTCTGTCATTTTTGTGGCAATTAAGTACTGCACTTATTTTGAGGCAAGAGTTTACCTTAGTGATAAAGCATGTATGTACTTCACTGACTATTAATAACTATAATAATTTCGTCAACTGACCTCGTTAAATCAATATTACACAAACATGCCAACCAACCTCGGTTCTTCAAGCTCGGCCAGTTGATACAACTTGTCAAAAGCTTTACATTCAGTGGCCATGATAACACCTGGCATCATCCTCTCCTGAAGGCAAAGTCACATTTCTAAAGTCATATATCTATAGTATAAACCGACACGCGGCGTTTTCGATAAACGTCGGTACGAGTGCCACCTAAAAGCACTGTTGCCGCTGTCTGTTGAGCCTGTGAGCAGGCTCTTGTGTTTGGATTTCGCCTTACAAGCCCCTCTCAAGGCACACTTACCTATTACACCATCGGCAGCCACTTATGGACAAACTTATTTAAAAAAAACCCTTCTACACGTCTACCGCTGCATGTCAAAAAGTGGCCATAGGCAGAGGGTCTACACTAAAATGTTTCGTTCATTTAAACATGTATTCAGGTGTACTCTTATTTTCAAACTCACCTGCTCCAAGGCATAGGTTTGCCGATTTGACCCACTTGCACTGGACTAAACACAAAACAAATCAGATCATAGAATCATGTTCATAAGGTGTCCTAAGAACCAAATTTCATTTTTCTGTCACCTTCAAGTAAATGTGATGTATTATTGTTGTTAAGAGCTTCCAAGTATAGCTATAGCACTTTCACAAAACGAAACGATCATAAATGTACCTCATCGATCCGCATGGCCTCTTGACTCTGAAAAATAAGACAGAAGATCCAAATTCAAAAAACTATTTCAAAATCAAAATCAGCAAGACAGTACTGACACAAAGAATGCTGGGAGACCTTTTCCAGCTTCGATTTTGGAAATAATTAAAGCTTAAGGCTTTACATCTATCCAAGATGATTTGATTTATCAACCGAGTTTCTTAAGTAAATTGACCACCTTTAAGAGTTTCTGACACTGACGTTTCAAGCGTTAGCCCTTCGATAGAGCGAATGTTGAGTATTCTCGTGGTCGTTTCAAAGGAAATACTGAGACAAGAGGTTTAAACCACACTTTGCTGCAATATTCCTTATCTCCTATTGCTGAGTCATTACCAAAAATAAAGTACGACATTGTCAGCAGGGAGTAGGGGTATTAGGAATAAAATCAGTAGGCCAATCCAGAAAAATGAAACCTTAGTGGCAGACAATCGACAATTTTGTTTCAATTCATCCCATGCGCAACAAAATACAACCTTCAGACTCCATAGCACCAATAGAGCCATAAACTGACCTCAGCTTCTTCCTTGGTGGGCACAGTGGTGACACCTGACACAGAAACTTTGGCAAATAGCAGTTGTTCATCTTCAAACTCCAGTTGATACAAAAGCTTCTGATCCTTAGATGGCAAAAGCTGAAATCCAATTAAGACAGTTCGTAGTGCTCATCAGTTACCAGACTATTGTAAAATAACACATGACCGATAATTCTTCTTCTGTGAGGAAGTCACGGAGAGACTTATTCATGTATACAATACACATTAAATGATAAGGTTTGTAACGCCATCCCTACCGTTTCGTTTGCGTTATGCGTCACATGATGCTAACGATAAGATACGGGACCATTCGAGCTCCGCGTGGAGCAGAACGTTTCAGAACGCAATCAAGCGCATAGCTTCGTTCGAGGCACGAGTTTTCGCACGGAACTCTGACTAACCTTACAGTCTAACGGTTCCATACGGTTCTTGGTTGAGGTAAGAGTTATTTTCGAATCTCTAGTACAATTTTAACACCGATCTTGTACCTTCCTCTTGCATACACGGACCTTAGGGATTGGATTGTGTGGTTTGCTCGACTACAGTTTCCTTGCATATACCCCTTTCTAGCCGAAAACGCGGTCGCTACAGGTTTGTTCACAACAATCCGATCGCATACTCATAAAAGAGCTGTACAGACGTTTATTTTGTTTTATGAGACATAGCTATATAAGTAATTTGGACCTCAAAAACATCTAACTGTTACAATACCATCAAAACAACGCAGAAAAATCAATCCTAAATAGAGAAAAACACACCGCTCGCTACAACAAAAATATCAGACTAACTGCTAAAACGGCTCTCCCTGAATACATCAAGATCCTAAACAACACTTGCAATCCATCCACGTTATTCTCGCAAAATAACTAAAGAGCAATTAAGGAAAATTAAGGAAAACACTTGAGTTCCAGGAAATGGATTGAAAAGGCACCTACCAACTTTTCTGAAGTCGATATCTGAATTTGCTCATGACTGGTGTTCAGGCGGTTGGCTATCCTGTGACGAAGGGACTTTAAACTTTCGTTGGAATGGGACTAAAAACAGATAAAAAAATATACATTAAGATAAATAAAACGTAGTATGTAGAAAGGAATCTTTTCAGTAGTTTGATCATTGGGCGATTGGCAATTCTTTTAAAAATTTTCCAGAAACAAACTTTTACTGTTTGCCGTAATGATTTTCTGTTCAAGTAACAAACAAGGAAATAAATTCAATATATACTCCTCAACATATGATACGTGTGGATATTTTGCGAGTTGCGTAGTACTTATCCGAACCCACGAGGGGCAAGGAAAATTGAGAGCAATGAGCATAATGACTGATCGTATTTCATTTTTAACCATCGAATGAGGGAGTTGTTCTGCTATTATTTTCTTTCTAGTTTTCGAAATCCATCCTTGGCCCTCATCTGAGCATGGCATCGATCGCATAAGGCGTGGGGGAAAACAGAAACAACATAACGAAACCAAGTAAATGTTATTGTGGCCTACAAATGCGCGTAAAAGTGAGCCTTATAATACAAAAAAAAAACCAAGTTTGGAATGTTTGCTGAGGCCATTTTGTTGCACCACTTTCCGTCGGCATTTTTGCTCTGTTCTGCAGTCTAACACTGTAGCATATAGTGCGCGCTCCAGTGCCCTACTATGATAAAATGCTATACAATAATGATTCAAATTAAAAAACTTGTCAATAATCCTTCACAATGATGTTTAATTGTTGTGATAACCCTTTCCCAAAAGTCTTACCAGTATCCATCAATGAAACTTTCCTACGGGCCACACCCATAGAAAGCTAAGAACGACAACAAATAGATAAGAACCTGAAGAGTGATCTCTTGTCTGGGTAAATCAGAAGACACATTGATGGTGATAGGATATCCATGAAATGACGCTCCATGAGGTAATAAAGTGCGAGGACCAGCATGGAGATCCTTATGAAAAATGAATGAAAATAACCATTGGTAACTACTATAAACATCACAACAGGTTAAAATTGTATGGCTCTAACATCTTATGTTCGTTTTACATTTTGCTTTTTGTTTGTCGGCTCATTTCTTGTTTAATTTTTATATCAGGGTTTTGTTCTTTCTTCTGTTTTGTTCGTTTCCTTTTTTGTTGTACATTTTTTATTTCACGTGTTTTTGGTTTTTTTGGGGGGGAGTTCCTTTTTATAGTAACCCATCCCTCTTAAAAGAAAGTCGAAGTTTATCATGCCAGGAATGTTGATTTCGCGTCACCCAAATTTATAATTTCCGTAGTTCATAATTCAGCAGGCCCTTCTGAGCTTCATAACTACTCTTATTGTCAAATATAATAATCATGGCCGAAAGATCCCCTTGAATTTTTTGATTATCAAGAACCGGTTTCAGATTTATTTAGAGATTTAGAACTAAGTATAGGTTTCCTTTAAATCAATCTTCCTGCAAAAACCATTTTAACTACAATGTAATTACGCACGAGATAAGGAGAGTTATGGGGATGCTTTGAGGTAAAACTTAGGAAACTTAAACGTTCAGCTACCATAAGAGACAAAGACAGAATTTCTCCATATGATGTCAGTACAATATCAAGCAGAAAAGTGATGAGAAGAAAGAAAAATGTCGATAAGGGGAATATTAAATAATCCAATATAAATTCTTAAGAATAACATCATAAAATTATATGGCACACAGTAAGGCAAATTACGGATGAGATCTTGAGAGTGAAAGGGTGAGATGATACAATTTCAAACGTTAGGATAACATCTATAGGGCAACAAACCTCCACAGTAATGATGTACTGTTCCACTAGCACTAAAAGCCTCTCAACACTTAACATGTAGTTAGCCCTGTAAACACAAACACAACAATCAAACGTACAACAATCGACATGGAAACGTACATGTAGCACTACTGTACATGACTCTGCAACTTAGTCTGTTTTGCTTGTTTGTTTGTTTGTTTGTTGGTTTGGTTTGTTAATTTTTATTAAGGCCACAGGCCTCCAGTTTTAGAGGCAAGGACTGTCAGGCCACTAATGATTCAAGTAAGGTTATACCTTTTAAAGCGTTGAAATTAGTTCTCTCTATCAAAGTCAACGGTTAGGCAAGCAGAAGATAACACTGAAACCTTGATTAAATGGAATACAGTTAAGGCGATTCTTTCGCATTGCATTACACATCCTGTACTGCGCATTAAAATCACGTAATCAGGCGAATAAGCGCACGCGTTCGGAGAACACGATGATGTTTTTTAACCAATGGAAGAGGTAAAGACGTACGATGGGCTTTAGCTCGTGAACGAGCACGGTGACCTATAAGCCTAACAGGCCTTAAAGCCAATTTCCTGCCCATACCTGGCTGATCCTGGACTGATGGGTACATCAGGTGAAACAGGCGCAGAAGCACCAGCAGCAACTGCAACACCTGCTGCTTGGTTGAATGAACTTTGTCCCAGGCCAGACATCATTGCCTACAATTTAGGAACAAGTCAGTGTGATAGTATTAACCAAAGAGAGACTGCACCATTTTGAACAGAGGTGTAGTCAAACATCCTCACAGAAACAATTTGCCAAGTGGTCATGATAGACAACTGTCTGTTTTCGTGGAGGTCACCACAATTATACCTCTTTAAGACTCTGCCAACAGTTTTTGACTAAAAATTAGGACACACAAGCTATCACTTACAAATTATCAACAACGAACCACCACAAACTACTCAACACGACCAAAGAAAGCCAAATGAATAGAGACCAAAAAAGCAGTAATTCTAAGTACGCTGCAGTGGTCAAGATTTTGACCAAGAAAACTACAGTCGAACAAAACCAACCCACCTCAAGGCGTTTGTAACACTCCAAAATAAATTTCTTGTGAATATTTACAGGATCCTTAAAGGCAAAAAAACAGATACGCATGTACCAAACTTGCACTCTAAAAATGACACTGATAACAGAGTGTAACACTGTTCACCAGGATGCTGTGTCAATAACACATACAAATATACACTTGTGTCATTTATTTAATACATTGTTGATAACAAATCACTATGCAGCAGAGTGACTTATTTTCTAATATGTGTGTACTTATTACGATGTTTCTCTTAACTTTAAAGACACTCAGACAAGTGCTTGTTTTTAAATTTGTTTCCATACGTTCGTGCACAGTTGGACAATTACATTTCACAAAGACATGAAACATTCCTTGAAAGATGCAAGCACACGTACATCACGCAACAGGTATGAGACGCAAACATCTTTATTTTTACGTACAGGTAGAACCTGATCGCATATCAAGTCAAACAAAAACGACACATGATGCAACTCAATATCACAAATTAAAGAAACTATTAACCATTTGTATTACAGTATTTACTTTCCACGCTCACCTTCTTCAGCTTTGAAGACAGCCAAGTGTAACTAAGTTCCATAAGTTGTTTAACAGCTAACATGGCTATTTCCTCCGATGGAACCTCAAGAACAATCCTCCACAAGTAGTCAAAACCTACAAGGTCCATTTTCTCCACTGTAAAGATGTTACCAGTCTTCTTGATGCGATTGTCATTGTGGTTAACATTCTCCAGAAATGCTTTGCAGCAAGCAAAGCCTGCAAAAGAAATATGACAGATTATAAAGTTGTAAACCCATTGAAATGTTTGTTTAGATTTGACCCATAAAACCCAAGAAATTAATTTCTCCTTACAACATCAACACACATTTGAGCAGGCCAAGGTACTGAGAATTAAGAGGATGGTCAACAAGGGGATTATTATGATTATTGTGATCAAGACAGAATTTCTCCTAACACCATTAATACAGTATCAAGCAGACAAGTGATGAGAATAAAGAAAAATATCAATTAGAGGATTATTGGTTGATCCAATTCCAAATTCTCTAAACTAACATTATCTGAATTGTATTGCAGACAGTAAGGAGAATTACTTAAGTGAGATCTTGGGAGTGAAAGGGTTAACAGCAAATTCTCAAAAAAAAAACCTTATGGTATAGGTAGGGCAGACACTAAGGAGAATTACTAATGAGTACCCGGGGGTGAAAGGCTAAACAACACCTCATGTTATATCATGCCATAACCTGCAATTATATCCCAAGCATCACAGATTATCACTTGACAACATACATGTATGCCACTGAACATTACCATATGGACAAAAAGTTTTCAATGTCATATTTTACTTCTGACATTCTCTCTTCATCCTTCTTTATCTGTAGTGTTTTAGGATGGTCAATGAAAGACCTCCATATGGTTTGGTCAAGCATATTGTGGTGGAATCAAGTACAATAGGCAACAACATGAAGGGGGTAAGTTTCTAAAGAAACTGTGGTGCAACATTGGTGGAGGTGGAGGTGGAGGTCAATAAAGATCATTTGGATATAAAATTATTAGCAAAGTTGATAATGTAAATTGGCCTTCATAAAGAGTTTCTAAAACTGTTGTTTTGAATATCAAATATCAAGCAAAAAAAGCAAAAATTTTATATTTTATATAATATCAAAGGCTAACCCTGAAAATGTCAGCTTTAGAAACTCTTCATAGTGGCAAAATTACATTTATTAACCTAGTTGAGAAAGGCAAATCACCAAAAGTTATCAGTTTGTATTATTTGCTATCTCAGTGTACCTTTCATTGTCAGCTTACTGGGATCCAGCTTAAGAACCTTTCCGGTAAACATCTGAGATTGAGTGTCTGGCTCTAAATCACACTGTCCTTTGAAGAACCAATCAAAGCAAGTCTGCAAAGGTTAAAATGAAACATAATTGAAAAAAATGTCTATCACATTTATTTCTCATAGGAGCAGAACAGAGAAAAATATATGCATCCAAGTTGAGAGATCAAATTTCAGTCTCATCTTAATAATTTGCATTCTCCACATTGCTAAGATAAGCTTTAGGTCAGAATATTTATATAATTATTATTTGCCTTAAGCCTGTGATTCAAGAAAATTTTTTCATTTCCTTTTAAAATTCCACAAGGTTGTTGAATTCGCGAATAAACAAAGTGCAGTCTATCACTTAAATTGCACTATAGACACAAAATGGTTACATACACCATGTAAAGTGCGATTTAAAATTCAGTTGTCCTTGCCATTATTGTCATCATCATTAATATTTTTAATACTACTTTCAACATGATGATCAGTTAACCAAAGCAGCTTGTAGATCAACCAACCTCACGATCAAATTCACAAGCATCAACATTAGCTACTAGACAATCCCAGATATCTCTAGCTCTGTGCCAGTGGAGGTAGAGTACCCCCTCTTGCAAAACAAATGCAAGAAAACGCAAGTGGATGTTGACAAACTCCTTGTGTGTGTAGCGACCATCAACTAGGGTGTCTTCCTCCAGTCCAGCAGGGGAAGCAGCAGTGACAGCAAGCTGGTGACAGTTCACAAGGCTGGTGACAGTCAGCTTGATTATGTCATGATTTTTATGAAGCTCTGGAAGGATGCCCTGAAGATACAATATATTTGTGGGATTGTAGCTTAAACTGAGCAATAATATACTTTCGCAAAAATAAAACTTACCTAATAGACAAAGAATGGAGTGGCTCCTATTAATTAACAAGTTCTAATATAATGTGCTGTTTTCTTACTTATCCTTTAATTGTAAACTATGTAATACATATTAAGGATTTTAAAAACAGATGCAGTGTTGCAGAGGTCCCAGAATGACAATTAGTTAACAACTGCCTTACAAAAGCACAGTTTTTGAAATATAAACAAAGGATTATTGATCCAGTTTTCTGACTAATACCTGAATTTTGAGTTACTGCTGATGATTAACATTGATTGAAAGAAGAATATTCAATCCAATGCACAATGTTTTTCCACCTCACAAAATAATTCTTAGGTTTGAGTACTTGGAATAGAGCACAGTCACTCCAAAGTTGGTTGTAATTGTAGACATAAAGCTGAATGAAGCAATCCAAAAAAATGAACTCTATCATTTCAAGTTCTTGTTGACCTCTCCCCCCCCCCCCCCCCCCAAAAAAAAAAGGTGTTCAAGATTTTCTTTTTAAGCCAAGTACCAACCTTGTCATGCTTGTTAAACTGTTGTTTCACCATTCCTCTTGTGATTTTCAAAAGTTGACGGATAGCTGGTACAATCAAAACACCTTTCCTTATGTCCTCCACACACTTGACAGCATAGTTCTTTTTGATCTGTTCCTTCACAGCATAGGAATCACTCAGGATTTCAATGTGAGATTTGAGGGCCTGATCAACCATATCAGTTGTTAGTGATGGCAGGTGAGATAAGCTCCATAGAAGATCAAGAACCTGAAATAAAAACACAAAGGTTGACATACACGTTAAGCACTTGTAAGGAACTTTTAACCATAATCTTTCTCTCCGAAAAGTCACTTAACGTATAATTATACAATCTTAGTCTAAACAATCCTGCCATGTTACTATGTCATGCCAATAATGACAAGTACCTTAGTGGTAATCTTTCCCACTCTCGCTTCCTTTCCAATTCGTCCAATGAGCACAAGCAGCTTCTCCTTCATGCGATCATTCTCTGATCCCCAACTCTAGGAAAAGAAATGCAATAATTGATATTTTACAGACACTGCAATTGTCCTAAAGGTATCGGTAGCCAGATAGGGAAATTGAAATCATACATTGATCTGATACTAAAGCTATACCAGCCACTAATTTCATTTCTAGAGTAAAAAGAGGCACAAGCAAGTACACTGTACTTCTTTCAAACAATACTATAAATTTTCATAGCCATAGTCTTGAAAATTACTGATTTGCAAGCTTAACTGCAAGAAAGTAATCCTAAATCTTACTGATTACAACAATCATGCAAAATGTACCTGTTGGATCAGCACAAATAGGTGTTCAAGTTGGTTGGAGTTAAATTGTACAGCTGCTGTGGCTAAGATATTATGAATGTTGTCCACTTCTGTCGGGTGCTTTCCAACCTTAGTGGAGAAACAAACAACTAACACTTTGAAAATTTCATTTAATATCTAATTATTATCATTAAAAATCACTTTGCTTAAATTCTATAATTATGTAAGATAAAGGTTTCATAATCTGTTTATTGATGAGGCATTCTCAAAAACTCTTTATTCAGTGAGTGACTAGTAGTTTCTCTTGTGATTGTTAACCCCTACACTCCTCACAACTTATGGCCTCATTTAGTAATTCTTCTGTATGACTGCTATACAATTCTTATGATGCTAGTTTGGTGAATTTGGTATTGGATCAGCTAATCGACGTAATCCCCTGACTGATGTTTTTCTTTCTTCTCATCACTTGCCTGCTTGATATTGTAAAAAGGAATTTTATCGTTGTTACTCACATGAGTTAAAGGATTAAGTCTGACTGATAATTTCGGAATAATTTACATCATCCTTTCATTTAAAATGTTTCCTCTGCCAATTAAAGAATATTTTCTATTGACAGTAATTACATCTATTGATTCCTAGAATTCCCATCTGTGGTACACCTGTAGTCACCTACACCACCAATCTGAAACATGACACAGATCTGGAGGAAATTTACCACCAGTATTAAAGTTTTAACCGATGGTTTGGACTGAGTAACTAAGTCAGCAAATAAGAAATGTAACATAGGTAAGCAATATACACTACCTGCATTTTCCATATGGTTGTCAATTCATCCAGTGAAAGTTTTGTTCCGAGAAATTCCACAAGGACTTTAATTCGGTCACAATACTGAGACTGATGAAGATTACCTGTTTGTCATCAAACAGAAAAAGTTGTAAGAAAATAATAATGCATAAAAATTTGGTCTTAAAACAGCTATATGAGGCAGCTAATGTTTTTTTCTTTACAACATAGCAACTATAAACAGGAGATTCAATACATTTTGAAGAAGACAGCAAAAGCTGCAAAGTAAGTAGCTAGTAGAAGTTTGATCTTTACTCTAATGTTGTTAATTTCAGAGAAAATAGGCCATGGTTTTTTCTCGACATGGACGGCAAATTTTCCCAGTTGCTTGATCTTATTGAAACCCCAGCCTGTAACAAAAGTACTAATAGTTTATTATTATGTAAAGAATCTCTCTACATTACAAAAATGAACCTGTTCAAAAACTATGTGATGAGAATTTCCAGTCATTGCATCACATAATGTCAAAGAAAATGAGTGATGGTATTAAACTCTTGTTACCTACACTTACTGAAGCATGGCATAGGTCTTACGCCATACATAACGGCTGGCTAAAATTTCTTGACAAATTGCTAGAGCAGTTTCTCAACTAAAATGATTCCTTGTTACATGAAACTTCGGAAGATTGCCAAATGTGCTTGATATACAGGTAATAGATGGGAGCTCATTTGGTACATCTGTAGTCTGTCAATTTTCATTTTCATTCATTGTTTTGGATTGGGGAGTAACAAACCAAAATGACATACTTTCAAATGCAATTGAAAGCACTTTATTTTGCAGTAGCCACTCTGTGATGGCATCTTGAGACAAGTTCACTTTGGTGTTCTTGTTCTTCTCTGAATCTTCAATCAGTTTGCAAACCTAGAAGAAAAACTTCATTTGAATTACATCACTGTACATGTAGATGAGCTATATATCTGATGGAGTTGACGAATTAATTTTAAGTACCAATAAAAATGACTCTGTATTACCATGATTCTATGTACAAACCTCTTTCAAGGAGTTCATCTTTGCATTAAAATGAGGACTTTTGAGCATTTTCAAAGCAACTTCCAACCTCAAGTCATCCACTCCAGCCACCATGCTCTGCCAAAGTCTCATACACAGGAGTTTCAGAGTTGTTAACAAGTCAAAAACATCACCAACCGTCTGTTAAGAAGTCAGAGTGTTAAGAGATTAAGGAACTAAAATTGATTACTGCAAAATAATGTGTTTGTAACAAGATTGCAAACACAAAGAAATGGATAAAAACTCCAGCCTCGTACATGACAATAACTTTCTAAAGGAGAACAGTCCATTAATGGGGTCCTCTACTGAATAAGCTGGCCTTGAATTTCAGAAATTACTGTAAGCCCAACAGGGAACAGTAAAAACAAAATCAGAAAGATTAACAATTTGACCCCTGAGAGTGAAATCTAACTTCTCCTTACAGTATCACCCTTCAGTCACATTTTAAAGTAATGAGAATAAAGGAAATGATCACCAACTAAAGAGGCTCTTGCTTTTAAATCAAATTCTCCCTTTCAGCACCTTATAAAATATAGGGGAGAATAGTATAAAGAACAATTATACAGGGTTAAAAAAAGCAACAACTTCTCAGCTTCAGGTAATTTTTAAGTTTACCTTTTGTTTCATATCTTCATTAGTAAGTTCTTGAATGTAAGCCAAGGTCTTTTCAAAAACATCACTGAAGACTTTCTACGATGAAAAGTAACAGAGAAAAATATTCAAAGAAATGAAATTCCTAGCTACAGTTGAAGTAACTCGTGCCCAATGGGGGTATAGGGAAAGCATCTTTACAATCAAGCTGACTCACTGTATTATTTTGTGAAATCTTACCGGTAACACTTTGGCATTCAAATAACTGGCGCATATCCCCAATGGTTTCAAAAGTGCAGCCAGCATCTAAAATCAGAAATGAAATGAATTTGTAAAAGGCTATAATAACCATAACCATAACCATAACCACTCACCCACAAGATGAAAAACTCCAGAATCTTCAAAATTCTTGATTAAAAAATCTTTGAATTCCTGTCTTATTTACTGTACAAGTGTATGTTATTAAAATAATGAGTAATGCTCTTACGGGAGCATCCACTTTCTCAGCTGTCTCAATCTGCTTTTTGATTTCCTCAAAACCACCGAGCTCTGCAAACTGAAAAAGAAAGTTCATGCTTGCCAGTCTTCCTAGTTTGTTACCCTGTCCTATTTTTCACTCAACACACTTGTGTTATTACTCAACACAATTGATTATAATATGAGCAAGGACTATGATGTATGGCCATCCACCCTCTTATGTGTGGTTAACACTTTTACTCCCATGAGTGACCAAGACAGAATTTCTCTTCACAATATCAATACAATGTCAACCAGATAAGTGGTGATAATAAAGAAAAAAAATTTGAGGATAACTTGTTAAGAATTGTATGGTTGATGGTAAGGAGAATTACAAATTTGATCAGGGAGCTAAAGGGTTAGAATCTTAAGGTGTCAGTAATTCAAGGCTCCTTGAGAGTGAAAAAAGTAAAAACAATAGTCTGGATACATGAATTTACATTAATAAGTCAGACTACCGTACATCTAATACTATACACATTAGCTGTCCAGAATCTATACACAAAAATTAAAAGCAAGTGATAGACAAGCTTACAAATGACATCCATAATGAAAAATGAAAACTCATGAGTACTCATAATTTATGTTACACCTAACTGTAATAAATTGAAGTTAATGACAAACATTAGATCAAAAGTACAGCCTCTATAATATTATTTACTCACTAATTTCTTTTTTTTTTTATAATTATGTACAAAATTAAGTCAGAAGTCATAAACTTGTAAGAGATACAGTCTTAATGTTACCTTGTTTATCAAGTTTACCAGCCACCCATAAGGCTCCTATGGTAGAAAAAGAAAAAGCCACATGATGTATTTATCCACATTGTAAACTTTCAAACTAGTATGTATACTACACTTAAAAAAGCATGTTTGTAGAAAAAAACGTTAAATGTTCAAATAGTATTTTACTAGCAATAACTTAATTTTGTATTCCCTGATTAACCAACAACATTGGTTGTAAGGATTTGAAAGTGTTGCGAATTATTTTAAAAAAGTAATAGCCATAGAAAAGAGAACATAGATTTAAGTCAGCATTTCTTTTTTTCAAATTTTCCAACAGAATTTGTCCAAGATTATTGTTTGAAAATAACTAAAGCTGAATTGGATTTTACCCTACTGGATAAACAAAACATGTATTTTACCTTGTATGAAGCATGAGTGTAATAGGCTGAAGTTGGTGGACACACTGCGTAACAATCATCTGCTCCAAAAACTCCTTCATAATACTTCTTTTCCCATGGTTTGGTTCTGTTTTTGAACTGGAACTCTGTTTCTGGATTAAATGCCTAAAAAAGAAATGACCAATATAACGTCAGGAGTGCCTACAGTTAAAATAACTTGAAACACTTAGTTAAGGTTGTAACATGATTATTGGTTCCACTTTGGTGTTAAAAAGCTGACGTTAATTTTTCAAAGACGATAAAATTGCTTAAGTCTGCAGGGTAATTGCAAATTGTACTCTTTGAAACATTCACAGGTTTTTATTTAAACTAAAATAGAAATCATTATTAATATTACTTATTAATAACTTACACGGAAATAGCATCACCAAAGATCAAGACAGATGAAATTTTGACAGCATGTGTGCTTATTTGTAATTTGCTCTTGCATTACAACCTTGCACTCAGGTTACATGAAAAAACATGTTCATTCTTAGTCAATCAGGAGTGTTTAATTTCTTTAGGAATGTTATTATCATAAAAACATAAAACAATTGAGTGCAATCAAATTACACATGCCAACAACTTGTAACAAAATCAGTGACATCCCCTATTGCAGAGCTAAGTGTACTTCAAATTGTGTGACGTGTACATGTACCTGTGTCAATAATTCAAGTAAACCAAATGGGACTGGCTTGTACTTAAGTCTGGAAGCTACTAAATTCAAGAGTAGATGGAGCATGTCATAGATTCCCTCGTGAATTTCTTGACCCCATCTATGGACTGCTTGTGTGGTAAGTAGCTGTAGAAAAGGAGAGAACAGTGAATGGTTTAAACCCAAGAGTAACAGTTGATCTTGCTGGCTAACTATTAAGTTGAGAGTAAATGTTACCACTCCAAGTTGCAACTGTTTTGGTCATTATGGTAACTGAAAAATATATTTGGCAACTGAAATTATGGCAAAAGTGGCCAATTGGCAACCAACAGATTTGAAAAAAAAAAAACTTGGAAAAGAAAAATGTTAAAAATTTATCAATCCTTGGTCAAGTTACCATACAAACAAATGCAAACAAACCATTTGGTAACTCCCAAATATGCATGAGCAGGGATCAAGTTGAACTGATTTCATTGAGATAAATTTCAATTTGTAATGTGTGCAGCATTCAACTCAAACCTTCAATTTTGCATTGGGAAGTATGGTAACAAAATATCAAATGATTCAAGAAGTTATTTACATTATGGGACGTTTTAATACCAATATTTCTGCTCACTTCAAATGAGAGATGTTAATTGGCTGAGCAATAGACCAAAATCGTATTAAACTTGATTTACGTCTCAGTCTCGGCAACTTTATAGCAAATTGTATCTGCTTTCAGATATCATAGATTCTTCATTCTCTCTCTCTCTTGACCATCATTTCAATCTTTTACTTGGCAAGGGAGTAAACCCAGCAAATTAGCAAATGAAAGCATAGCAATCCCATTGTCCTGATCACTACCTATGTCAAGTACTTGAACATGAAATTTCATTCCATTGTTATGAGGATGTTTTTCTTTCCTTTTGTTTATGAGGAAGGGGAGTGCAACCAAAAATTTTTTCATGGCAACCATTTTCCAATTGAAGGAGGTCCCAAAAGGCCACTTTTAATAAAAATTGGGCTTGGAGCCATGAATGTAGTTGTGAAAAAGACTGTTCAGTTATAGTAAGTGACATTTGGACCATCTGCCAATTTGGACAGAAGAAATGATTAGAGTCACTTGATTCAGATATGTCTTCATATAAAAGTTGTCACAACATCAGTCAATACACAGACAACAGTCTTTTTCAAGATTCCTCTCAGCTCAATGATCACGCCACACAATTAAATAACTACAGTTGTCACTACCCAGTGAAGTAAATATACTGTGGTAGTCATCAAATACATTGTTTACCACATGAATAATGCAAACTTTAAGCCTTACATGTAAAGTAGGTCATGCCATGTTCTAAAAATGAACTGATTAAAAACTAACCACATCAATGACTCATAGATTGATGTGTGAACAAGTTATTGAATGCATCAAGTAAACAAATGATCCTGATACATTGTAGATGAGCTGCAATTATAGCAATTGGAGAAAAGAAGCTGGAAAAACTTAAGTCTTCAATGGGATTAAATGGGTGCAAAATTTGCAAAATTTAATGTGTGAATGTGACCATACCTTTTTAAAACATTCAGGCAGTGCTCTGTCCATAAATCTCTTGCAATTTTCATCAGCTTCAGCGAGACCTAGAGAAGAGACAGAATCTTTATTGATAACCGTAAAGCTGATTTTACCATGGGGAAGATGCCTGCTCTAACTTAAGAGTCTATGATCACAAACTGTATCTGAATCAAGTTCATTTATAATAGCAAACATTCTACAAAGATTAAAGACGCTACATCAGTTGACAGTACTTCTCACTACTTACATGTATGTTTTCAGGTCTCTACTAAGTTATCAAAGGGAAAAAAACAAAGATTTGAAACTAAGCAACATACATGTACAATGTTCCAAGAAGATGGAGAAAGTAAGAAGTTTATTGTTGCTCCACGTAATGATTTTTAATTATATGAAACAACTTAGAGTGACGGACACACATCAGAAGTAAAATGAGGGAAGAAATGAAGAAGTCATGAAGTGGCAAGGTTATGTACAGAATACTCTACAGGATGAGAATGGATAGGTCATGGACATGGACAGGACATGAAAAATAGGAACTGATAACACTAAAATGATCTACCACATCCTGCTTTTAATTTCTAATACACACATGCACTAACAAGATAACACCAATTCCCTCAGTAACTTTAATTTAGAAGATAAATAAGATGTGGATGTTTCTACTGGTAAGCCAAAATCCAAATGTTTTGCAAAGTTTTGGGGAAAAAAAAGCCAATGCACACTATAGCATTTTTCAATAGATATCCTTTTCCAGATTGCACTACTAGTGATGGACTTTTTATTTTTTAGCCTCTCGTACCACATGCAAAATCAGAGCAAGATTTCAGTTTCAAACACAATATTTGAAAATCTTTCCAAACAGATGATCGGAATCCCTCCAGACCTCTTTCTGAAAGGATGTGATGTGATAAGAAGGAAGCACTCAAGATTTTTCCAGTCTTACAGAGACAGGATAGAAACAAATATTGATTTAATAAGTTTTGTTTTCAACGAGAGGATATCGAAATGATTTTCAAAATACACTCGAAACTTGAGTACAGTTCAAAAGGGAAGAGGAAGTGATGCTTTCCGTACACAATCATGTATAATTCAGTGTGTAATTGAGCCTGGTTTGTAAAATTCAAGAGAAATAAATACTGACGAAAGGAAAAAGTTCCAAAGACCCAGACTCAAGTTATACATCATGGTCCTGACCACTGGTTAGAAATGGTTGCAACTTTCGTTGCACTCACCATCTTGAGCAAATCTTGCAGCACTCTGTAAACATTTTCCCAAAGACTCATCTCTCTTGTAAGGAATTGACCAGTTGTCCACAAAAACCCTGTCCTCCAGTTCATACAGGTTAGTAGTGGGAAATTCCAGTGGTATCTCCATACTTTCAGTTTCATCTCGACTGTGGCTAGCTCCATTTTGGGACAGACCCGCAGGATTCATGGCTTCGTCGTACGACGGAGGTGGCTCTCCCGTTGGAGGCTCAAAAACGTCTCCATCTTCACCTTCTCTAGGATCCAGTAAAGGAGGAATCATGTCTCCGTCATCCGAGCCGTGTTGCGTCTCTGTGTCTTTCACTTCCGTGTCTTCGTAATCAAAACTTGTGCTTGTTTCTTCTCCTGTAAGAAAAGCCACTGCATCATTCAAATCATTCTTTGCCAAACTTAGCGCTTTGCGGATCTGTGCGCTGTCGACAAACCCCATGTTTAGCAGGGTGTCGACGTAAGCTTCGTTAGGCTCCACCATTCTGACAATAATGCCAGAGGTTAGAAATTAATGATTCGTAACTGCTGATCTCTTCATTCAGGCTATAGACTCTGTCGCCATGTTGAATTTTAGGGCTGTCCCGGATGGGTTATAAGCCGGGAAAACTGGTAACTACCTCAGGAACCTTGCTCCCAGCTTACAACCGTGTGTCAACACAAAATGGCGGAACTTAGAAAGCGGGGAGCCACCAGTTCTCCCCTCGAGGCAGATTTCAAGTTAACCCACGATTCGCCCTCAGTGATTGCACATCCAAAGGGGAGAAATTCAGCAGGCTGGACGTTCTTTTTAATTCTTATTTTGTACTTGTTCTCCTGGTACATTAGCTTCAAAGCTTCCAGATCTGTCCCCGCGCCCAAAACATCAATGAGGAGTTCCGTTAGCGAATTTGTGGAAGAAAAAGCTCGCCAACATTTAGATGCAATTACATCCTTGGGACCGCGGCCTGCTGGGAGCTATGCAAACGAAATTCAAGCTGTAAATTATATCGTTGGAGCTTTACAGACAATAAAGGACACTGCACGCGAAGATGTGATCATCGAAATTGACATTCAGAGACCATCGGGTAGTTTCAATTTAGCCTTCTTTGATGGATTTACAAGCGTTTATCGCAATGTGACCAACATCGTGGTCAGAATAACACCGAAAGAAAGCTATCCGCCCAAAGACACTATCCTCGTCAATGGGCATTTTGATAGTGTGCCGGGCAGTCCTGGCGCTAGTGACGATGCGGTGAGCTGTGCTGTGATGCTGGAAGTGATCCGATGCCTCGCGCATACGCGCAGCTTCCGTTTTACACACGGTGTTGTCTTTAATTTTAATGGAGCTGAGGAGAATGTCTTACAAGCAAGCCACGGCTTTATTACGCAGCATAGATGGGCAGAAACTATCAAGGCGTTTGTGAATCTGGAGGCAGCTGGTGCAGGTGGGTGGCAGGGTAACGTGGCCTTACATGTTACAGAGCTGTAAAACGTTTGCGTGCATCACGGACTCTCA